CCATATCTTGAATTTTGTGATCATTCTAAATGCATTTTAATACTGAATCATGCAGTGAAAGAACACACTCTAACTGCGCACTCGCAGTCTAGACTTCACGTAATGTAAGCGTGCAACTCTGTAGGGGTGTTTTGAATGGGTTTTGCAAAATACTCGATAATGTCAAATCGCACATCGTTAAAACAACAATTACGATATTATCGCAGACGATATATATCGCACACCACACGATTGCATTCACAAACTGCTCGCTCTGAGGTGCAAGTAATTCATCATATATGAAAACTATTATATTAAGAGGCTTCTCCTACTTTTCTTGGTGATACTTTTTGTTGGTGATACGATTTTGTTTTCTTTGACTCGTTGCATGGAAACGGTGCTTTATTCGCAAATGTTTTATGCGATATTCCAGTTAAATTCAAATCTTTGGATGGAAACAATGATCTGCATGTCTGATTCTTGAATGAATCTTTCTTTTGAGTTGGATCTTTGCATTGAATCGGTTGAATCAGTTTAAATGATTTGTTCATGAATCCAGCTGATCTGGTTCTCGAGTTCAACTGACTCAATGATCTGCATGTCTGACACTTGAATGAATCATTCTTTTGAGTTGGGTCTTTGCAATAAATGGGTAGAACCACTTTAAATGATTAACTCATGAATCTGACTGATCTGGTTCAGTTAATCTAGTTCACGAAATCTGACCTAAAGATCTGAACATTGTGTTTTTTCCAGGATCTTCTATAAAGTGAAGAGCCGCAGTGCCCACATGAAGAGTCACGCCGAGGCGGAGAAAAAGGCAGCTGCGCTCCGGCTGAGGGAGGCCGAGCAGAGGGAGGCCGAGCAGCTGGCGGCAGCCGCCTTGTTGGCCGCCCAGCAGAACGGAGCGATGGGGGATCAGAGCAGAGCGAGGAGAGCCAGCAGCGACGACTCCTCAGAGGAAGAGGAGGATGCAGATGATGAAGACTGGCACTAGCTAACAATCTCTTTTGTATGGCCGAGAAAAAACCTATTTATTTTTATTTTACCAGCCAACAAGACCCATCCCAAAAGAACAGTTTCAGGGACTGGCTTACTCCCGTAGAGTGTTCGTGTGAGTGCGTATGTGTGTTATGTGTACATGAAACAGACAAAGATGGAGACCGATGCTGTAGAAGCATTCAGGGGCTAAATGTTCAGATATAGGGCTATTGGGAGTGTAAGCCATGCCATCTCGGTGTGAATGTGTGTGTGTGTCTATAATATGCACTTTCGGACTCATCCTACACACACTGATCTGACCGCAGCACATCTATCCAGTGTCTGTGCACAGAACTCACTCACTGTTCTCCCGTGAAACGAACCATTATGGATTCAGTGCTGTGGAAGTAGAAGGACACAGAAGCAAGTGTGCGTGTGTGTTTAGTCTTTTCCTCCTTTTTCGAAATGAAAACGACAGTATCTTTCTCTTCCACGTGACTGCCAAACGCTTGCACAACTGTGCTTGTACGCCTGGTCTTGATCTCCAGTGCTGTAATTTTGGGCTTTCTGTTTTGAGTATCTCAAAGGTGAAGTTAATCCGGAATGGAAAATTCTGTCATTTTCTCACCCTCGTGTCATTCCAAACTGCCTTTTTTTTTTCTCTCTCTCTGTTCAGAACACAAAATGAGACGTTTAGCAGAATGTTCATGCTGTTCTTTCACACATGTTCAATATTTAAAAAGGACAAATTAAAAAAACATCATAAAAGTACGCCAAAGAACTATTATGCTATATTCCAAGTCTTATGAATAGGTTTGTCAGAGAAACAGAATGAAATCTTGACTCATCATGACATATTGTTATTTAAAACAAAACCTAAAAAAAAGTTTATTTTCTTTAAGTGATATAAAGTAGGGCTGTCAAATCGATTAATCACAAGTATAATAAAAGTTTGTGTTTACATAATATATGTGTGTGTGTGTACTGTGTATATTTATATGTATATATAAATACACACACATTGAATGAATCATTCTTTTGAGTTGGGTCTTTGCAATAAATGGGTAGAACCACTTTAAATGATTAACTCATGAATCTGACTGATCTGGTTCAGTTAATCTAGTTCACGAAATCTGACCTAAAGATCTGAACATTGTGTTTTTTCCAGGATCTTCTATAAAGTGAAGAGCCGCAGTGCCCACATGAAGAGTCACGCCGAGGCGGAGAAAAAGGCAGCTGCGCTCCGGCTGAGGGAGGCCGAGCAGAGGGAGGCCGAGCAGCTGGCGGCAGCCGCCTTGTTGGCCGCCCAGCAGAACGGAGCGATGGGGGATCAGAGCAGAGCGAGGAGAGCCAGCAGCGACGACTCCTCAGAGGAAGAGGAGGATGCAGATGATGAAGACTGGCACTAGCTAACAATCTCTTTTGTATGGCCGAGAAAAAACCTATTTATTTTTATTTTACCAGCCAACAAGACCCATCCCAAAAGAACAGTTTCAGGGACTGGCTTACTCCCGTAGAGTGTTCGTGTGAGTGCGTATGTGTGTTATGTGTACATGAAACAGACAAAGATGGAGACCGATGCTGTAGAAGCATTCAGGGGCTAAATGTTCAGATATAGGGCTATTGGGAGTGTAAGCCATGCCATCTCGGTGTGAATGTGTGTGTGTGTCTATAATATGCACTTTCGGACTCATCCTACACACACTGATCTGACCGCAGCACATCTATCCAGTGTCTGTGCACAGAACTCACTCACTGTTCTCCCGTGAAACGAACCATTATGGATTCAGTGCTGTGGAAGTAGAAGGACACAGAAGCAAGTGTGCGTGTGTGTTTAGTCTTTTCCTCCTTTTTCGAAATGAAAACGACAGTATCTTTCTCTTCCACGTGACTGCCAAACGCTTGCACAACTGTGCTTGTACGCCTGGTCTTGATCTCCAGTGCTGTAATTTTGGGCTTTCTGTTTTGAGTATCTCAAAGGTGAAGTTAATCCGGAATGGAAAATTCTGTCATTTTCTCACCCTCGTGTCATTCCAAACTGCCTTTTTTTTTTCTCTCTCTCTGTTCAGAACACAAAATGAGACGTTTAGCAGAATGTTCATGCTGTTCTTTCACACATGTTCAATATTTAAAAAGGACAAATTAAAAAAACATCATAAAAGTACGCCAAAGAACTATTATGCTATATTCCAAGTCTTATGAATAGGTTTGTCAGAGAAACAGAATGAAATCTTGACTCATCATGACATATTGTTATTTAAAACAAAACCTAAAAAAAAGTTTATTTTCTTTAAGTGATATAAAGTAGGGCTGTCAAATCGATTAATCACAAGTATAATAAAAGTTTGTGTTTACATAATATATGTGTGTGTGTGTACTGTGTATATTTATATGTATATATAAATACACACACATACATGTATATATTTTAGATGCGATTAATTTTGATTAATCGATTTGACAGCCCTCATTTAAAGCTAAAATAAAATACATATTAGGTTAAAAACTTAAAAATTGCATAAATTGGAAAAAAACTGAAAAGAGATTAAGATGAAGTACAAAAATGACTAAAATTAAACCCGAAATTAAACATTTAAGCTATATATACATACATGCATACATACACACATACACACACACACACACACACACACACACACACACATATATAAAATCATATAACTAATAATTACAAAAAAACATATAACAAAGGTATTGCACTATAATTCAAACTAAAAATATGTAATTCAAAATATTCATAAATACAATACTTACATAGTATTATAATATAATAATAATATATATAATATATAATACAATTTATACTTAGTATTATAATATATACAATAGTATATAAATTATGCTAAAATAATACGGCAGAGTACCAACTTTAAACATGGATATGCACACATGGGGTATAAAAAATTTTAAACAAAAAAATTATCGGATGACATCAAAAGACTATATACAATGCATGAGTTGTATGGGCATTTTATGGTGCTTTTTTAACTTATTAAAGCTTGACAGCTGCCCTATTGCTACTATATACTTATATTTCATGAAAATGATCAGCTTGAAAATTCTACTTTACATCTCCTTTTGGTGTTCATCATATAGAAAGTCATACAGGTTTGGAAAGACATGAGTGTGAGTAAATGATGCCAGCATTTTTAATTTTGAATGAACTCTTCCTTTCATTAAAACGGTGACCTTGCTGATGCCTTCAATGTTTTTGACACTTTCTATCTTTACATGACAATCACTTTTACAAAGGTTCTTTTTTTATACTCCGCAGATTATAATGGTTGTGCTTGATATATCATTTATTGTTATTATCATTACTGTTACTGTTAGCTTTGTACTGTTTTATTATAATTATGTTGTTTTTTGGGGGGGAGGGAAGGGGTGCAGTTCTTTTTCTCATTTGACTTTTAGTTTTAGACATTTGCTACCTGTGTTTAAGGGAAGATTGCATATATTTGCTGAAAGCATGATTATAAAATCACACTGTAAGTGCAATAGCAATAGTGGGGACTTTGGAGTTCCCTCCCACTCCACTTTTTTTTTAGCATCTTTGAACAAAAGTATTAGATAATCAACTTAGATTTTAGTGTAAGAACAAATGTGAGATTTAATGGTTGGTGAGTTTAAGGGCAGTTGCGAGCAGCTCGGGTTTCTTTCTCTCTACTGGCCAAACACTTAAGCACTTGGCTTTGTCTCCATGGCAACAAAGAGTCTTCTTTTAAAGGATAGGCACACGGGGGATTCACAGCCAACAGTAACAGCTCCAATTATTGCTAATAACACAGAAGTCTTCTATGCAGCGTGTGTGTGAATGCGAATGCATGTGTGTTTGTGTTTATTTGCATGGGTGTGCATGCGTGGTTGTGTGTAGTTGATGCACAAATATTCAAAACGGTTTCAAATTCAAAGCCAAGTGAGAAAAAGAAGCTTCCTAGACTAATGTCTTTTTAAAAAAAGTTTTTTTTAAATATATATTATATATAT